ATACCCCTATTAGCAAGGTCTTAGACGGATCTTGTCGCTGCTGTTTGTGTGAGGTATCCAACGAGACTTGCTGCTTTGATGGATTGCGTCTCGCCCTTGGCAAATATTGTCGCTATCGGGCGAGGCACCATCTGTAGAGCTTTGACCTATCGTGCATTCAGATAAACGGTTTCATCTGCTTGGCGGTAACTTGTCGGCCGACTATTTACCGTTGGGGGAGGTTTTTTATTTTTGGCCGTTCATTTTCTTTTAAATTTGTGCCGGTTGCTCTAGTGTTTACACAAATCCTTCTTCGATACCAAGTTTTATAAATATAAATATCAAACATTTGGTGTTACATATGTAAATGCATAAGAAATATGTTGCATCTCTGTAAATTTTTTCTTTACAATTTTGGTTTCAGGTTAAAGAGGTTGGTGTCTACATTGTAGGCTGTCCCAGCATTGCCAAAAGATTGGAGCACTATTTTGAAAATTTGTGGACATTATCGTCGCTTAACGCCACAGCATACACCAGAACTGTTTGGGATAACATATGGCAGGCTTCTAGAAAAGTTCCTTGCTGGTCTCATTTCATTCCTTATAGAGAGAGATGCAGGTAGACTAACTTTTATTTTTCTTTATGAAGATTTACAGATATACCAGTTAATTCGTTTGTAGTCATATATCTAACAGTTAAATCTTCAATTTTTAAATATATGCCACATTGTCTATATATAAAAAAAAAGGTATATTTCACATTTTAAAAGTTGAAATAACGGTATTTTTTATGGGATATGGGTGGTATAAATATAAAAGTAAAGTTTATGTGTTACATATGCAAATACATTAAAATTGGGCGGTATGTATGTAAATGCCCCTATTATGTAATAGCCATGCATGATTCTGTGGGCTTGCTATATGATAAACTCTAGGAAGATTTACATGCAAACCACTTAATTCATGTGTTTTCCTATCCAACGCTTATACACGCCGCCTTACATATGCATGAAAATGTATATTTCACTTTTTAACAATCAAAATAGTGATGTTTTTGATGTGATAGCATAAATATAAAAGAATAAAGTTTAGGTTTTGATATGTAATTGCTTGTGATGTCAATTGAAAACTTTGAGCGGCATAAATATAAAAGAATAAATTTTAGGTTTTGATATGTAATTGCTTGTGATGTCAATTATGGGGTTATATTTGCATGCAGCTCACCCTTACCACATTATGTTGATACCCCACTAGTGGATGGATATCCATTTTTATCTGATCCTGATAAATTCAATATTTCACTTGTGACCCCGGGATATTGCACGACAACAACACTGCAATATTCAAGCAACCAGACAAGTTATCTTTCATTTGCCCCCCCAGAGGTATAACAATTTGGTATTATTTTTTTGCTGAATAAATGAATTTTCAGCTTATGAACATTGCATGCTCTAAATTAATTTGTTTGTTTTGATTATAAATCAACCAACATTTTAGTTTATATATGATCATGGAATATGCTGCATTAGTACATATTTACATATTTTAGTTAAAGTAGTGGTATTTCTTGTTTATGTGTGCAGCTATTATTTAACAAGTTGCAAGCAGATGAGCAGGCATGGGTGGAGACAATCAAATCTGCAACATTTGGGGGCACTGTTAGAATTAATACAATGGATTGGTTGGGACAATCCCAGTACACAAAACAGACAATATATTGGTCCTCTCTTTCATCTGCAGTGTCAGAGGTATGAGAAGTTTCTTTAGGAGGGGGCATTTACATACATTGCACACAATTCTTGTGTATTTACATATAGCACACCGTTAACTTTCATATTTACACTCATAGCACTTAAATCTTTGATATCAAATACATATAAATATGAAAGTCTAGGTGTGAGTACATAAAAATTATGTAAATTTCCCTAAAATAAGGAAAATTTAGATACATGCCGCTCAATTCTTATGTATTTACATATCTAACACCGACACTATCATATTTATATTTCTAAACACATTTATTTTAAATATCTATGAATGAAAAGGTGCATTTAAAAGTAAAAGATTGTGTTACCTTTGATGTGATTCAAATGAAAATATGAATGCTTAGGTGTTAGATATTTAAATATATAAGAGTTTTGCGGTATATATGTAAATGGCCCTAAAATTAATCATCATATTGGAGGAATATTCAAATTTCAATCATATTGGATTATTATTTATGGAAAAATTTCCTGAATAAAGCCCCATGAAACAGGTAATTTTCAGCAAGAATGCAAGAGTCAATCTATTAGTAGCATACTGGACACACAATCTTGAAGGCACAGAACAATACCTCAAATCTCTTCTATACTCAAACATTTTGTGCAGATCATCAAAATATAACAAATGTAGAGGAAAAATTGCAGTCAAGTATTACAAGGTTCCTTTTTATGACAAAACTGGACCTGCCTTAATCAATGGAACGGCTACAGGAAACATCTACCCTGCTTACTCTCGTGTTAATCATGGAAAATACGTCGTAAGCGACGTGAGAGCGCACGTGGGAACGAGCAATCTCGTGTGGGATTATTTTTATACTACAGCAGGTGTGAGCTTTGGTACATATAATCCAGGTATTGTTTCACAATTACAGGAAATATTTGATGCAGATTGGAATTCTCCTTATGCTGTTCCAGTTGAACCAATAGCTGCGGCTTAGCTTGCTCAGCAGCTAAAAACTGAAGAATGTGTGCAATGGGTCATTTTAGTCTCAGAGTTTATAAAAGCATCCATTTAATCCTCATTCTTTCTTAATATAAAGATTATGTCAGCCCAAATTTAAAGTCTAGGAATTAATTTGACATTTTTATAAACTTCAAGTTAAATGTCAAGAGACTATTTTGACACTTTCACCTAAAGAAATGTATGTATTAATGTTGTTTTCTATCTTTCATACAAGATTGTGTGAAATTGTTGGAGGAACAAAATAAATATTTTTCCAAATAAAGGTTTATTTACAGTTGAAGAGTTATGTTTAGAAATTTAATTTCTTGAAAAGTTTTATTTGGATGATATCACAGGTGCTTATGAAAATGTGAGGAAGGAAATGAGGGTTCTTAAGGAACAATTAATTTGGAGTAACAAGTATTAAATCTTAATAGAAATATTTGGCTATTTAATTTTTAAGATAAATTTGAGTCGAGGTGTAACAAACCCAAGCTAACTCATGAACTGAGTCAAGTTTGGCTCAATAAGTGGCTCTCAAGTTGAGCTCGATGAGCTAACAAGTCAAGCTCAATCTAGGCCCTCGACTCAATTTGTTATTTTGTGAGCCGATGTCTTAAAAATATATTAATATTAAATATATACTTAGACTATTGAAATATTTAAAACTTTATCTATAATGATTAATTTTTTTTTTTTTTGAAAGGAACTTAACATTGTCATTGTTGGTTCCAAGCCCGGATGTGAAAAGTAGGGGGTTGCGTTAGCTAGTTGACAATCGGTATAAAACTTGTCGAAAAAATCATGACATTAATCTTTTTGATCATTGTGTTAGTGCTAGGGCGTCCTCTATATGACCTGAATATAGTGAAAAATGTACAAGGGCCGTTATACCAACGTCTGGGTGTAGTATCAAATGAGCAAGAGTTTCCACATTACGAACAAAAGGGGTAAAGAAGTTAGTCCATCAAACTAATGAAACTAATATTAGGAATGGTTCTTGGAATATAAGTACTCTCAATGGTAAATTAATGAAATTAGTTGATATTATGATTCATAGAAAGATTAATATCTTATGTATTCAAGAAACTAAATGGGCTGGAGAAAAAGCTAAGGAAAATGATAATTTGGGTTTTAAACTTTGGTATTCTGGTAAGAGTCACACTAGAAATGATGCAGATGTAATTATAGATAAGAGTTTGAAAGATAATGTTGTAAAAATGAATTATAACCCTAATAGAATTATAACCCTTAAGATTATTATTGATACTAAGATTTTTAATATTAGAAGTGCTTAAGATCCTCAAGCACGTTTAAATATAGGGTCTAAAGATAAATTCTGGAATGACTTAGAAAACTTGATACAAATGATACCTCTTGAAGAAAGAATTTTTGTTGGGGGAGATTGAAATGGACATGTCGGTGGAGTGGTAGAAGATTTCAGAAATATTCATGGTGGCTATAGTTTTGGAGTGACTAATGAAGAAGATAGAGTAATTTTTTATTTTGTTTTAGCGTATGATTTTGTTATTACTAATATTTTATTCAAGAAAAGAAATGAACATATTATTACTTATAAGAATGGATCTTATAAAACACAAATTAAAACACAAATTATAAAACACAAATTAATTATTTTCTTATGAGAAGAAGAGATCGTCTAGATTGTAAAGATTATAAGGTCATTCCATGTGAGGATTTAAGTACTCAACATCGATTATTAGTTCTAGATTTTAAGATGAAGAGTTGTAAAATGAATAAAGAATACTATGACTCATCGTCGTAGAATTAAATAGGAAAACCTAAAAGACAAATAAAATTATTTTTTTTAGTAAAATTTAAGATTTCAAAATTTGGGATGTTCATGAAGAAGCAAATGCTTTGTGGGATAAAATAACAAACACTATTAAACAAGTAGCAAAAGATAATGTACTTGGAGAATCACAATAAAATATTTTTATAAATAAAAATAGTTGATGGTGAAATGATAATGTGCAAGAAAAGATAAAAAATAAGAAGTTATGTTATAAAAATTGGTTTAAATATAAAAGCTTAGAGAACTAAGAAAAATATGTGGTGGGTCATCACAATGAGTCAAAGAACAATCGGTGACTTCTACTTTTAGTGATCTTTATAATATCTTAAATACTAAAAATAGTGAAAAATATATATATAAACTCGTCAACCAAAGAGAAAAAAAAGTAAATATTTAACTAAGTCTATTAAAGATGAAAATCAAAAAATGTTTTTCTTAGAAAAAGTTATTCAACATAAGTGGGTGAGTTATTTTGATAAACTTTTTAATGAAGTTTCTGAAAATACGATCGGCCTTAGTGATCTTAATATCATTAATAATAATAAAACGTTTCATTTTTACCGTCGCATTAGTAAAAAAGAAGTTGATGAGGCTTTAAGGAAAAACAAGGGTAGAAAGTCTGTAGGACTTGATGACATCCAAATTGAAGTGTGGAAATATTTAGGAGATTTGGGAGTTTCCTAGCTTACTAAACTCTTTAATATTATTTTAAAAACTAAAAAGATGCCTGAAAAGTTGAGGAAAAGCATTTTGGTCACCATTTTTAAGAATAAAGGGGATACACGAGAGTGTGCAAATTATACAGTAGTCAGGTTGATGTGTCATACTTTAAAATTATTGGAGAGGGTAATTGAACATAGGTTAAGACGTATTGCAAAGATTTCTCCTAATCAATTTGGATTTAGGATTTATGTCAGATTTATGTCGGGCAGGTCTACCATGGAAGTTATACATTTATTGAGGGTTTGATGAAGAAGTTAAGGAGGATCTACATTTAATTTTGCATTGATTTAGAACAAACTTACGATAAAGTTCCAAAAGATATCCTTTGGAAAGTTCTAGAGAAGAAAGGTGTTGATATGACTTATATTCAAGCCCTTAAAGATATGTATACTAGAGTGGTTACTTGTGTTTGAACTGAAAAAGCGTGAAGACAGATTGACCAAAATGTTTTCCTAGTTCTGTTGGATTAGATCAGGGATTAGCTTTAAGCTCATATCTTTTTGCTTTAGTTATGGATGGTCTTACTAGACACTCAGGAGGATGTACCTTGGTGTATTTTCTTTGCCGATGATATCCTTCTCGTGGATAAGACGAAAAAAGACGAGCGGAAAAACTTAAATTATGGAGGTCTACATTGGAGTCTAAAGGATTTCATTTGAGTAGAACTCTTACTGAATACATGGAATGTAATTTTAGTAGTAGTAGCTCTAGTGACAACTGTGTAACTTTGGGTGATCAAATTACTAAAAGGTGTGAACGATTTAGATATTTGTTGTTCAAAGCGTTGGTGATATAGATAGGGATGTTAATAGTAGAATTCAAGTTGGTTGGTTGAAGTGGAGGAATGCTTCGGGCCTTTTGTGTGATAGAAAAGTACCGCTTAGACTGAAAGGAAAATTTTATAAGATGGTGGTGAGACCTGCAATGCTCTATGGCGTTGAATGTTGGCCTTTAAATAAGAAGCATAATACTAAGTTAAGTGTTGCAGAGATGAGAATGATTAGGTGGATGAGTGGCTTTAAACTTAGAGACAAAATGCGGAATGAATATATCCATGATAGGGTTGGTGTAGCTCCAGCGACGAACAAAATTAGAGAGAGTCGTTTTAGATGGTTTGGTCACATTAAACGTCGGTCATCTGATGATCCAATTAGGAGAGCAGATGTTTTATATTCGACTTATGTTAAAAAAGGCAAAGGTGTCTACTTGAGCTTATTGTATGAAAAATGATCTTAATTTTTTAGAACCAAATAAAAATATGACACTTAATATGACACAACGAAGAAAAAAGAATTCATGTAGCCGACCCCACGTAGTGGGATGAAGGCTTTGTTGTTGCTGAATTTTTATAAGTAACTTGGCTCCCGTGACGAACAAAATTAGAGAGAGTCGTTTTAGATGGTTTGGTCACATTAAACGTC